GATACGCACCTTATTCATTTTTCTTGGCCTAACAGCTGTTCGAACTCGAAATTTCTTCCCTCGAAACAGCCCATTTCAGCGCATGCCCCGTCCACCGTGAGTAGGGTTCCGCTAATATGTGTTCTGCATTTCTTGACTCATGCCCCACCAATTCCAAGCTTGACCCGATCTCTTCACGTGGTTCTCAGGTATTGCCGACTTTCGTGACGCACAGACAAACAGTCATACTTAGCGCTTAATGGATGGTATGAATTAATTACTTTTTTCCCGTCTTATTGATTCCCGAAACCAATAATTCTAATCGATATCGATCGATAGGCTCCATTTCCAACGGTTGTTGTGACGGTCTAGTTTATAACCACTCGCTAGCATCATATTCGTACACATGGACCCTGCCGAAACAAATGGACATTCTGGCGCTCAAACTGAGATTAGTATACCTCATCACCCTCTTTCCCTTACTTAGCCCGACTCCGCCACCACTTCACGTGTCGCAAGGATGACACTCCATCAATGCAGCTCATACCCCACCTAGGCTTTTCAGGCTTTGATCAGACAAGTGAATCGATCACAAGCAAGCGAATTAACAGAGAGTTACAGAGAAAGTTTACAACCGATCGAAATTTTTGACCAAGAAATCACGGTGTGCTCCGGCAGTGGCAAAAGGTGTAGTTCAAAGAGTTTAGAGAGAAATGGGGTCATGCGGACATTGCATAATAGCGATTAGATTATTCAAATTATATAGCAGTTGTAAAAAGTAAAGCGGAAAATACAAAAACCCTCCTTTCTGAGGTTGATATCGTAGGTGCAGAGGTAATTAATGGGTTCAACATAAATGATAGTTCAGTGTAGCAACCCTTGCGTAGGTATGATAAAGCTGTCACGAAGCTTACAGATCTGCTGTATGGCTCGAAAGTGGGCAACACGGGCGCTTGAACTTTGCAGGTGTTGCTGGCTTGCTGGCCTTGGTTGGCTCTCCCTCTGATGCTGTGCAACGGCAGGGGATCCGCTCTGTGTGGCATACTTTCTTGTGCGATTCATGTTTCTCTCCATGGTACCACCCACTATAACAAGAAAGGACGCTCCCAACCTTAGTGTTTTGAATAGCTTTCTTTTTTGAAGTTTATCGCACGTCCTACCCGCACCTTCACTTTCATTCTGGAACAAAGTCGATCGCGGAGTGTATCATTGAAGGCCTATAAGGCAACCCATTAAAGGTATGTTGGGATGAAGAAAAAACCACGAAAAACGTTCCAGAACCTGAGAATGAGAGCCCTTCCTTGCTCGTTGGTTTCCTCATTGATGCGGTTCTCATCGATACTGCCCTCTTCAACGCTAACACTCTCTTTGCTAGAAACGGCTGAAGACCTGCGGCAAGTTGTTAGCCTGTCGCTG